CAATGATAGGATTTTTTTGTTCTTTGACACCTGATACCTGATTGAATTGGCACCTTGTGATTACACAGGCTGGTGTGCTTCTGTGTACCGATGAAACATACAACTTTCCTTTAGTTCTTTAATGCTTCCTCCCCCCCTCCCCCCACTATCATGATCCCAATTCTACTTTACAAACCCGGCTAGAGCAGAGCATGTACACCGTATAGATAAGAGCTGGGAGCTGATACCAAGGCCTGAAGTAGAAAGAAAATGTTTTGAGAATGGTGGCAACAAATGTACAATTGTCCTTGACACGATCTATGTATGGATTTGTATGAGCACCCAATAAAATGATTTTCTTAAAAAATTCTATCTGTATGACAGGAAATGGTGATTCAGTATGAATAGGAGGTTACTAAATACCAGTTAATATTCCGACGTTTTTTGGATATACTAATAGTTCAAGTTTGACTTCTACCCCACTTCCTGCATTGCTAATTTGGTCCAGCAGTAGCAAGTGTGAGAACTGTTGTTTGTGAGTTGATTCTGACTCATGTAAAGCCCGTGTGTAACTGAGCAGAACTCCTCCACAGAGTAATGTATATGGAAGTAGATCGCTAGACGTCTCTTCTGCAGTGCCTTTGAGTGGGTTCAAACTGCCAACCTTTACGTTAGTTGTCGACCACAAAGAGTTTGCATCAGACTTTTATTATATATGACTTCCATTTAACTTTTAAAGTCAGTGAATTAGTTAAACTGCTAATCCAAAACATAAAACTATACAATTGCAGTTCTCAAGATGCAGCCTTTTAATTGGCTTCTCAGGTACTTAAATTTCCTTGATTTGGAGAAATGTGTTGGAACTACTACAGAGTTTTGTTCTGTAGAAAATGCTACAGTGTCAGCTGCAGTAGGTAACGGACACTTCTGCCCTTCCCTAAGGAAGCTACCAATGCGAGGTCAGCTTGCCATCAAGCACCGTTTTTTTGTTCGTCAGTGCCATGGACTGTACTTCAAACAGAACGAAACCCTGCTGGTCCTTCGCTGTCCTCACAGAGGTTTTCTCTGAACCGTTGTTGCAGTTAGGCCGTCAGTCTTATTTGCTGACTCCCTGTTTTTCTCTTCCCTTCGGTTTTACCAAGCGTGATGTCATTCTCCAGGGACTGGTCTCTCTTGATAACATGTCCAAAGTGCATGAGACAAAATCTTACCACCTACACGTCCAAGGAGCATTCTGCTTGTAAGAAAGATTTGGATGTTTTTCTAGCAATCTCTGGTACTTTCAGCATTCCTTACCCACACCATCATTCAGATGCAGCGGTTCTTCAGTCTTCCTTACTCGTTGTCCAGCTTCCATATGTATTTGAGGGGATTAAAAATACAGGTCAGGTGCACCTTAGTCTTCAAAGTGACAACTTTGCTCTTAAATCCTTTAAAGAGGTTGTGGGTAGTAGAATTTGCCCAATGGAATCTGTCGATAGAGCTTTTCACTGCTAATTCTATGAGCATTGATTGTGGATCCAAGCAAAATAAAACGCTTGACAACTTGAGTCTTTTCACCATCTATTGCAGCGGTTCACAACCTGTGGGTCACAACCCCTTTAGGGTTCAAACATTCCTTTCACAGGGTTTGCCCGATTCATAACAGTAGCAAAATTACAGTTATGAAGTAGCAATGAAAGTAATTTTATGGTTGGGGGTCACCACAACATGAGGAAATGTATTAAAGGGTTGCGGCATTAGGAAGGTTGAGAACCACTGATCTTTCTTGATCTTGTCTCATCTATTAGTTCATTTGCTTCTCTCAAAAGTGACATAACTATTGCTGGCTGCTATATTTATGAGTGATCCTTATCTTTTTACTTAAAGTTGCTATCATAATACTCTCGTCTTCTGGAAAATGAGTCTAAACGAAGTCTCAGGGGCGCTGATGGTGCAGTGATTAAGCACTCAGATGCTAATGGAAGACTGCTGGGGGGAGCCCAGCTACTCTCTGTTCTGGAGAATGGCAGCCTGCTTCTGTATGGAATCCAGTCGGGGAATCCACAGCAGCAATTCTCTGTCCTTTAGTGTCATAGCGAGGTGGAATCAACCTGGGAAGGAGTTAAAATTTTAAAAATTATTTTTGATTAATGAGGTGTACTCCACTTGTCCAGCACTGTTGAGATCTTATTACAAAGAGGGCTGTCTGGTTGACAGCTTTTTTTTACTTTAAGTACAAGGGGGCTTCAAAAAGTTCCTGGACCATTTTCATTTCCTTACCTTGCAAGACCTAGAAAAACAAGGCAGACGTATCAATTTCCTGGTTCACCCGTCTCACAGTATTAGTTTAGCGATAACTTTAGTATTCAATTATAAAAAGGGCTAGTCTAGCATCATTAAAATTAGTTGTAATTATAGAGGTGGCTTAATATGATCAGATTTTCATTTGGGCTTCTTAGAAATACCTCATTTCTTTTGTAGTGAAATATACTACCCATGAAAGGATTTTCTAGTTGTGTTTTAGATTCCATGCAGTATGAATAAATGAAAAATTGATAATTTTATTTTGTCTGTAATTAAAAATGATAGTGTATAAAAGTATTCACCTGGTAAGGTTTTTTGCCATCAGAGAGTTATTTTGTGTGGTGCTAATTTATATACATTAAACTTTGGAGTTTGAAAGCTCTGTGGTGAGACCGCAGAGTCATCTCTAACCACCCACCCCAGTATCGCAGCATTGTGTGACCAGTGCATGTCAAGTGCCTACCTACCCTGCTCTGTACTGAAGAGATGAAATTCCCTAAGAGTAGCACTTAGTTCCAGCTTGTTGGAGCCTCCAAAGGGACGTGTATTGAGATTGTTGGAATTAAGTAGATTTGCAAGGAATAGAGGAATTATTTCTACTCTGGGTTGAGGACTGAATGCTTCAGAGAGGAGGTGTCAACTTAGCTGGGCTTCGAGGCTTTAATCGACTTTCAACAGAGAGGCTGTTGATCATGCCAATCCTTTCATAGGAGCTCTGGTAGTGCAGTGGTTAAGCACCTGGCTTCTAACTCAGAGGTTGATGGTTCAAACCCCAATATGGGTTCAATGCGGGAAAGACCTGACGATCTGCTTTCATAAAGATCGCAATCGAGGAATCCTTGTAGGGCAATTCTGCGCTGCCCTGTAGGGTCACTGTGAGTCTGGATTGACTCCACCAGACACCATCAGCGTTTCTTCCATGTAGATGGACAGGACTGCAAAGTCAAAGGGACAGTGCTTATTGTGACCAAGTAAATCCTTTGAGGTTGGAATGTGAATATTTTGCCAAGGAATTGAAAGGTGGCACCAATTGTGTTCAGCTACTAACCTAAAGATTGGTGGTTTGAATCTACCTCGCAGCGCCTGGCTGTCTGCTCCGGGAAAGACTACAGCCTAGAAACCCTATCTATAGAGCAGTTGGTCTCTGTACTGTGTTGGGGTCACCATAAGCCAGAACCGATTTGATAGCAGCCGTTTTGTTTTAAAGGAGGTATATCTCTTTATCAACGTTGAGAATGGGGTACTGAATGTGTGTCCGAGGGACTGGACACTGAGGGTTATGCTCTGGCCTTTTTAGGTGGCCAGTGATGACTCCAGCCAAGATGGAGAACTAGAAGAAGGTCCTGTGGTGGGCAGAAACCCTTTAAGTTTTGGATAAGATTGAGTGTTCTGTGCTATTTTCTTTTGTGATCCTGAGCATATTTGGCCCTCTGGGTTAGAACTGGAGTTGAGGTTTGTGTAATTCGATACTCTTTGTTCTGGTATCCTGCATTGTTCTTTTCTCTTCTGGCGACTAACGTCAACTGTAGTCTGAATTGTATACTTTGAACTGTGTTTCAGGACTACTTAAGTCATGTGTTCGTGGGCAAAGAAGGTTGATAGGATCATCTGTTACCTTGAAGTCTGTGGTAGCACATTGTCATAGCCTTTGTGACATAGTGGAAATGTGTGGATTTGGACTTGATCCAGGAAGAAGTTCTACTTGGTATTCTAGGGGACCATTTCAGCACTTGGTTTGCCTGCCTTTCCCCTTTGTTTCCTGTTTCATTGTTTTCCTTTTCTTAAAGATAAGTTGTTGCAAGCCTACGTTCCAAATACAATACTCTATAGTTTATTTGAATGAGAGGTATTCTAGCGTTCACAACAGTCGTCTTTTGGGAACATACAACATTGATTTTAAGTTGATTAGCACATCTGGCCAGGAAATTTCACGAAATAAGATTTTGGAGACCAAAAAAAAAGACAGGCCCTTCTTTCTATAACATTTATTTTTTTTTTGCAGGTGATTCTTCCATAGGGAGGTTTTTTGTTTTTTGCTTTTTCTCTAGGAAGGGTTAGTTTAGTTGGCTTCTATCATATCTCTGACACTTTGTAGTTTTCCAGCTTTGAGAGAACTTCTTGAAAAGTATTCTTGATAATGTTTCTTTTTAGGTGGGATTGGGTTAAGAAAACTAAGGAACAGAATGAGTTCAAACCCATTTATAAAGGTTTACTTTAATCTTCTTGTCTTAATAGTTACATGTGGAAGCATTAAACAACTTCCAGAATTAAAGAGTTTTCTTTTTGTGTAGTATAAATGTCATAAACCCTTATCACACTAGCCCAAGTGCTATACCGGCACCAAGTATTTGTGTACACACTCAACTAGGGGAATGGTGCGAGTCGATGGCTGTTGACATTGTGAGTGTACGACAGGAAGAGAAGGCTGTACACGAGCTTGCAGCCATTTTCAGTGTGCATGTTTTGATGCACGTGCAGTTAGCTGAGTGACTGACCAATGGGCTCCACTGTGGTTACATCTGTTACAGGTTCCGGTGGCACCTGGAGGACATATTGCCCCTTCTTAGAGGAAACTTCCCAAGTTGTGATAAAGCTTTAGCGTTGACTGGCATAAAATGGTCAGATGGTAGCATGGGAAGCCGGCAGAAAGGCATAAAGAAAGGGTGTCTTGCAGAGGTCTGGGGCATCTGTTGTTATCATTTGTAGAATTCACCCTCTGTATATTTATGTTTCAGTCCAAGTGGTAAGAAGTTTCGAAGCAAACCTCAGTTGGCCAGGTACCTGGGAAATACTGTTGACCTCAGCAGTTTTGACTTCAGAACTGGAAAGATGATGCCTAGTAAATTACAGAAGAACAAGCAGAGACTACGCAACGATCCTCTCAATCAAAACAAGGTTGGTTCGGTCACTCAGCATATTTGTTTGTCACTAGAACTTTGGTTGCCTAAATAGCCTTCACACCTCCTCCTTCCCCCAGCTCCTATGCCCATAGTATTTTGATTTTTAAAATCTGATTTAATTTCTTAATGTTGCAAACATCGAAGGGGGCTTACGTTTTTGATTATCCTTTCATTTCATTCCTCCATGACCTTTTTGAAGCCCACCTCATACATCACACGTTTGGCCAAATGGGGCTACTGTTGGCAAAAGTATTCTTTGTTGATTAATTATCCTTTTTAATCACCCCCCACCCCACCCCCCACCACCCCCGTAAGGCCTCATTGTCTAAAGAACTGGCAACATTTTAATTTGGCAAGCATCCTTATCACATAGTTTGTGATTACACACGAATTTTCAGATAAAATTTGAGAAAGAAAAGTTTTTAATGAACTTTTAGTAATGTTGAACAGTGTTCTCATTCTAATACTGTGTTTGGAGAGTGTTCCATTATTTTTTTGTAAGCTCTGATTTTTGTTGAGCTGATTAGTTAATAGTTTAATGTTTAGAATCCAAAGTAAATATAATCCCAAATTATATTATTGTAATTGTATTGAGGCACCCAGATACCTTTATAAAGAGTGTTGTTCTCCCCCACTGCACCCCCTCCCACTTCTTCTGGCAATGTACCCTACAGGCAACTGATGTTAAACATTTTTGCTCATTATTTGCTTCCTTTGCCTTTGCGGGGTATGTGTTGCCAGCACAGTTGTCCCACACTGTCCGTGGGAGGGAAGCGGAAGGAGAAGCAGGAGCTCTTCTCTCTTGGGGAGGTGGCTGATGGAGTCCTGTTTGCCCTGTGAGTGTTGGACTCCCTGTAGGACACCGGGAACAGTGGAATGTAGTGGAAAGGATGGCTGGTGCATTGTCTCTGCCACTTATTAACAGGTGCTTGCCTGGGTGAGTTTCTTAACTCCTGAGGGCCTCAGGTGTCTCATTTGTAAAATAAAGGTTGTAAAACCTTGCCTTCTTGTGGTGGGTGACTGGGGTTTCTTATAAAAACATCCAGCATAGATAGCATTGGACAGACTAGGCTCTTTCTTTCCCCGTTGCCCCTTGTGAATGCTCTCACTTTCCTAAACAAGCAAGCTACTTTTGTGAACGAATGATGTGAGAAAGGATACTTTCTGGCATAGACGCATCTCTGCTTTTGTGAAGGGCATGAAGTGTGGTGTCGCCTTCATCTCTTGTCTTTTCAGAATGGCATGCATGCAGTTGGTTCTGCTGATGGAGAGGTCTGTGCTGGCACACCGTTAGCACATCAGTAACCCGCACAGTGGTAGGACAGGAGGAGGCCACCACTAGAGGAATGTATCCAAGACCGATCCAGTTTCTTACTTTGGGAAGTTTAATTTCCAAAATTGGTATGAGGTCATGTCCTTATGCCGTGCACTATTTTCCTCAGGAAGCGTGGCATATGCTTTATGGAGAGACAGAAGGGGAGGGAGAACCGAACCTACTTATCTGTGGGTTAGTTTGAACTGATGCTTGTGACAGTGTAATTGAGCCTAAGAAATGGGCATTGGAGCAGAGGGAGCTCCATGCTTACACAGACGTGAAGCTCCCTGATTGCAGATAAAAGAAACTCTGCTGTAGGTTTACTTTGCTGCTTAAATGTACCGAGGAAAATTAGATTGTTTCTAAAGTTGCCTTTATAAAATGCCATTTTAGCCATGTTGCTAGGCAGTCTAGAAAAGGGGCTCAAGTATTTATAAACAGAATGGACTGCTTTGAAATTGCCCTGTTTTTTATCAAAGTCATAGTTTAGCTATAGTGAGTTTAATGTGAAGAGTTACTTCCTGACAAATTATGAATCATTTCAGCCCCCCAAAAGGCCCAAAAAACTAATCCATCTCTAGTTTGTGTGCACCTTTATGCTCTAGCTGCGCTGGACCGCTCCTCACCTGCACCATGGCATGTGCTTTCAAGATTCTGCTTGCTCATGTGCTGTTCCCTCTGCTTGGAATGTGCCCCCCCTCCCCCTCCATCTGACGAGCTCCTCCTCATCCAAGGCCCAGCTCCATTGCCTTCATCTCTGTGAAGCCTGCCCTGCGTGTGCCGCTGCATGCAGGAGCCAATCCTCCTCCGTGCTGCTTCCCTGGTGCTTTGCTGTGCTCGCTCTGGTTTGTCTGCTTCAGCTAGACTGTGCGCTCCACGAGAGCAGGGACCAAGCTTCTTTTTTTTTTGCCTTTGCCTTTGTACCTCAAGTCCAGAGCCTAGCACCTGGTAGGTATTTAATAAATGCTTGCATGATGCTGATTTGCTGTAGTGTCCATCTCATTTCAGAAGTTTATAGTAGTAATAAATGTTTCTCGAATGAATAAATTGATATGTCAGACATTATGTTGGAATTGCTTTTATTTTCAGTGTTTTTGTTTGGCTTTATTTAGATTGTCATCAGAATTTGGGAATGCATGATCTTGTTTGATGTGATTTTCTTTTCGTTAAGCAACCTGAAAATGAAGTTTTGCATTAAAACAATAGCAACAACAACAACTCCTCTTTTGGAGTGACACCAATGTTAAGTCTCTCCATAAAGCAGAAAACTTATTTGTGGCTAATTAAGTAATGACCGCATTAAATACTTTTTTAGAACAATACCATATAAACAAAGTTTCAAAGCATAGCATGCTGGGGAATCTAAGGTGCTTAATTGGAATCTGAAATGGTGTGTTACTATATAGCTTCAGACCCGGCCCGAAGTGTAATACAGACTAATATGTGTGAGCAGTCGAGTACTAACCAGATCCCATCAGAGTATCAGAGAAGGCTGGAGAAGGAGCTTTTCTGAGAACTGCTCAGGGAGAAGACTTACAGCAACGCTGTTCCTATGAACTTCTCTCCAGGGATGGAACTCTCTCAGCCACGAACCACATGTGACTGCTGAGTATTTGGAGCGTGGCTGGTGTGACTGTATAACTGCAGTTTTAATTTTAATTTAATTCAAATGGTCACAGGTGCCCAATGGCTGTACAGTGAACCCTCATTTATCGCGGTTAATCGGTTCTAGACCCTACCGTGATAAATGAAATTCCACGAAGTAGGATTCCTTATTTGTAAATCAAATATTTTCGTAGTTAGAGCATAGAGGACATGAAAAAACACCCTTTAGTCACCATTACACTCGTATTACCCAATTTATTAAACGAAAAAGGGAAAATACAGTAAAACATTTTGGACGTTACAATTATTTATTATTTATATTTATGGCATCTAGTTTACAGTATTACATATTTCACATACAGTATTATTATACATAGTTCTTACAAATACTGTAATCAATAGCCTATGAAATGACTTAAGGGATGTATTCTACAGGTGGGTCGCCGTCTTTTTCCTCTGAAGGAGCGGGTGTAGGCAGTGGGTGCTGTTACGCAAAAACCGCGATAGAGTGAAGCCGCGGAAGTCGAAGCGCGAAGTGGCGAGGGTTCACTGTATTATGTGACAGACAGCACAGCCTCTCGACATGTAAATAAGACAGTGAGAACCTTTTCTTCCGAAGTTAAAAAGGCAGCCTGTGCAGATTTGATATGTTCTGCCTATCTGTAGACTCTTCAAGCATTCACAAGATATTACAGCCAAATCTTAGAGACATCGTGGGTTTCATTTCTGACCACCACAGTAAAGTGCGTATTCCCACAGAGTGATGTTTATACCATACTGTGTGTGTAGTCTGTTATGTGGGCAGTAAGGAGCATTATGAAAATGTTGGAAATATTGGAGAAGTTACCAAAATGTGACACAGCCACGGAATGAGCACGTGTTGTTGGAAAAGACACCACTGGACTTGCTCGATGGACAGAGTGTTGGTCAAACTCCAGAGCAAACGCACTGCCTTTGAGTCGATTCCAACTCTACAAACTGGCAATTTAATAAAACGCAGTTCTTGCAAAGCACGATAAAGCGAAACTTGATAAATGAAGTGGGCCTGTATTTAGGCGTTGATTCCAAAAACGGACATGCATCAAGGTTTCACAGATGTGACCTTCAATGTTTTAAGAAGGAAGCTGAGAGAAGCAAGCATGTTATTTTTATGCAAATAAAATGCACTTACATGATTTTATGTGTACTGCATAATCTCCCCCTGTGCATGATTTTCATAAGCTCACTATGCCCAGGTTTGAGAACATGTTAACTTCAGTTTCGCTTTTATTTGTGTCCAGTGGATTTAATGTGAGATTTTCACCCCGGTGCCTGTTGGCATGAGGTCTGTCTCCCAGAGGGATTCCTTCCCTGCTTTGCAAACTGCTGTGGCCAGTGTAGGAAGAAACCACGGTTCCTGCCTTGGAAACAGCTCTCAATGGGGTCAGCAGCCCTCACCCACAAAGAGTGCTGGCCTGTGCACCCTGAACCACAAAGGCCACGCAAGCCTGTGCACAGTTCACCCCACTATCTAGCTGGCCAGCCACCGCACTTGAGTGGTTTTAATCTCCCCATGTGGACTCTGCAGGAAGGCATGAGAGCTGGGAGCACAGAGTAGTCACTCGAAGCCCACGTAAGACAAGTCCACCTCTGGTCTGGGGACCCTGTAGGTTCAGCAGTGTGCACCTCATTTGCACCGTTCTGTGGCCATCTTGATTTGAAGCCAGCACTTCGGGAGCTGCATGTTCTAGGGTTGTGGTAGCCTGGCAGCCCTGCTAGTCCTCAGCGTTGCCCTTGGGTGGAGGTTGGCTGAAAGAATCCCTGCCGCGTGTGCTCCGGCCTGACTGAGCTTCCCCAGGGCAGAGTTTCCTTGTTTATTTTAGGATGACTGGTTTACTATCAAAATCAATCTGTGGTCTTTGTATGTCCACCATTGTCATAGTTTTATTATCAAATACAATCAGAAGTAATGCTTTCCAGTGTAAATGAGGGGGAACAAATCAGAAACTCACTTCTGGAAATGTCATGAGACACTATGTACGTGCGTCCAGGCGCACGGCCAGGATTCTTCACATAACTGAGTTATTTATGTGGGT